CTTCCTCCTCTCCTCCGCCTCCTCTTCCTCTCCTCGCCCCGCGTCTCCAGCCGGCGGCGACCGCGCTCCTCGCCCCGCTCCTCGCCCCTTTCGCTCTGGCCGCTCAGAGTAACTCCGGGGCGCCGGGCTCGCTCGCCGCTCTCCTGTCTGGTGCGTGTGCCCGCCTCGCGGACCGGCGCCCCCCGGACGCCCCGCTGCGTTCTGCCCCCCCCTTCCCTCTCGCACCCACTTGGGGCACCGCGCTCACTCGCGGCGAACTGCGCTGGGCTGGGTCCCTGCCTCCTCCTCAGCTCTCTGGCCGCGGAGGGGCTGGGAAGGAGCCTTCTTCTGTCTGTTTTCTGTGGGGGGCGGGCGGGGTCACCTGAGTTCCCCGGGACACCTTCCGTGTCCTCCCGCCGGCCGGCGGGGGACTGCCCGGTGTCTGCCGAGCGAAAGAGAGGGAGCGAGTGAGCGAGCGGGTCCCTTCGGCCACCTTACTGCTAATCCGATTGATTCTTCATTTATTGGGCCCAAATCGGGCTAAGCGGTGGAAACCAGAGCGCACTGGGTCTGGGTATTGTCAGATGACTGTCAAGTCGTTGTTAGATGCTGGCGTTCCCTTTACCCTGGTTTGTTTTCCGTCACCCCCACCCCCTCCTTCCACTGCTTCTCCCATCCTCATCCCCTCGTAGTACTTAGTTCTGGGACGTGTTAGCGTACTTCTCCCCTTTTCTTTTTTTCCTTTTTTTTCTTTTTGCCAGGAGTGTCAACTTCTGTTAAGACTGAGCTGATTCTTTTTTCCTTTTTTTTCTTTTCTGGAAAAAAGCATCATTGAAAACAAAACAAAACCCACACACATAACATTATTTTGCAATAATGTCAGCTGGGGGCATGTTGCCTGGAAGAAGGGTTTCTGGCCCTTTGCCACCCTTGATTTGATGACTGATTGATCGCCCGTCATGCTGCTGCCTTTGATCTATTCATTCCCAATAAACATCAATAAATCACTTGAAATGGTGAGGCCAAGCTCTGTGACGTCACTAGGGCCCTGTCAGTGCAACTTCTGGGATTTGGGGCGGATTGCTGAGAGGACCACATATGGACGCGATGTATTTTGATATGAGTAACACTCAGATGTGCAGAGGTTCAGATGCTGCCTGAGCGGGAGGGTTAAGTGGAGTTTCATTTCTTTCTTTTTCTTCTTTTCTTTCTTTTCCATTCTTTTCTTTTGGTAGAAGATAGGAGGGCAGAGAGATGGGTCAGGGCACTGGCTGATACCCTTCTTGGATGAAGGCATGGTACCCATGCTGTCCTTGAGTGTCTGCAGTAACAGTGGGGGTGATGGTGGTGGTCATTTCCATCATGTCAGCCGTCACTGCCAGTGGAGCTCGCACACTGGCTGCACTGAACTTGAGTCTTCTTACACAGGGTCACAGAGAGGGAATGCTATTCTCTCTTCTCCCAGAAATGCACTGGCCTGTTAATGTCCTAAGAAAATCTTGGAAGAAAACAGACTTGATTTGGGGCATGTATTGCAGATTTTGCTCTCTGTCTTCGGTGTTACCTAAATTTAGAAAGTTTGAAAATCCCAGTAGTGGTTTAGAGAGGGTGCCGTCTCTCAAGTCACCTCCAGGCTGGTGCTTTTTGCCTATCCCACTTTCTACTTGAAATTCCAAGCTCAAGCCATGAGCTTATCTACCCAAAATAAACTCTAAAAGTTTGGAGGACTCCTTCACAAAGTTGGGCAGTAGGAGTGTCTTGGGCTGCTTCCAGTCTTTGAAATTTTTTCTTTCCTTTTTGGATGCACATTTTAAGGTATCTTTGTGCCTCAATCAAATGAACCATATGTGATTACATCTTTACATTTGGTTTAGAACTCTCTCCGCCGTTGCTTCATCTTTTCTCTTCCACCATGCCAACCTGGGACTCTTATTTGATAACTTCCTGCTAAAAATATTAGAGAAGGAGGATATGTACTGTTGGTTTTATTTTATTTTATTTTTTTTAAAGGCAACCTGTTCCCTAACCCTTTGCACCTTTTAAAAAGCCAGCCAGGAAATCTCAGGTCAGCTAAGAAATATTCATTATATAAAAACTTGACTGCACGACTAATAGGAGATGGAAGAATGGTTTTGCTCTATCAAAATGACCCGTCAAAACGACTTTGTTTCATATTTGATTTAATTGTCTCTCTTCTGACAGGCACATTCATCAATAGCTTAATGGTCAATCAGAAGTTGGCAGCATGAGTGCTTGCTTTCTTTCCCATAGCCTGGTTTTGGATTTACTTTATCAGAATGCCTCTGCCTAATGGACGTGTAGAGGAGGGGGTGGAGAATGTCTAAAGGGCTACTTATTTAAGGAGAGTGGAGGCATAAAAAAAAACCCTCCACACTGAGGCTGGCGATAAGTCTGCAGAAGCCAATAAGTGGGCCGTGTGAGTTTGTTTGCTTGGATGGACAAGAAACTTGCCATTTTTCCCTTTTTTTCAGTTCTCACAGCTGCAAGTTATAAGGTTCATGCCTGCATTTGTGGCATACTGGGCGTGATGACAAATTGATTGCTTTGTACTGATAGAGCGAGAGAGTGGGAAAAAGAAAGATGTCTGCTGATTGGTAACTGGAAATCCAGTCCCGAGCAACCTTGAGAATACTCGAGAATTTTTTTTTCCCCCTGCAAACTGAAAGGTCCGCTCAGCCATAAAAAAAGAAAAGTTGTTTTGCCAGCTTCATTAGTGTTCACCTAATTAGCTGTAAACCTGATGGATTCCTGAC